GGGTGACCAGAATGTGCAGGGCGGGCTGCTGAGGGGGTGACAGTCACTGGCGTTGTGGAGCTTGGGGACGTGGATGCTGAAACCCCCCATGGTGGGGCGGGGTGGGGGGAAGATTGAGATCCTCTCCGTATGTGGTTCATGAGATGCCCACCAGTGGGGGAAGGCAAGTCTGGTGGGAGTGGATTTGAGGAAATCACTCAGGATATAAAGGAGCAAGAGGTAATAGAGAACACAAGGAACAAGGCACTGAATTGCAGAACAGAGCCCGGGAGAAACAGGAAAATGCTGAAGAAAAAAGGCACGGATTCCTAGTGATAAAAGGAAGCCTTACACATCCTTCCGGAAGCTGGATTTTTGTTTTGTTTTGTTTAGGGGCAAAAGACCTAGAGTTCAGAAACTTTGCTAGAGGCAACAGTGGAACTGTTGCTATCAGCTCAGGGCCAATCTAGAAAGCATCTCTTATCAACTCTAGTTGATTGCAGGCTTTACAGATAAGCGATTTCAACAGTGCACCGCTCCTGAGAACTTCTGGTTAGAATTAATTGATCTTGATCACGGAGTGCTAAACTTTAAAAATCATTATTTAAAAATATTCTGCCCAACAGCTGCATATTGATACCTTGAGGCAAAGCCCCATTCATCTGGCGTCAATTACAGTTCTGCTCAGCCTGGAGGGACGCCTGACTTCCCACACTTGACTTTCCTCTCTCCCCCAGACCCTAGAACCTTCCCTAATCTTGCTACTGAGCATACGGCCAGGCTCTCTATCTGACAGCATAAAGACGACACCCAATGTCAAGAGGAGCACTATGTGACCCAAGATATAATGGGACTCCAGAAGGTGGGTGGCTTTCCCCGAATTTCCCACTAGAGGAGCGGGGATGCGCCTGGGGTGCTGGAAGCATGCGTCCTGGGGCCCTCCTGGAGCCCTCCCCCTCCAGAGAAGTCCAATACTCTCCAAAAACAGGGCACACAGACCCTGCAAGATGAGTCCCCTACCTGGAGAGAGACTGAGCCACCCAAAGACCTTCAAGCACAGAACCCGAGTTCACCAACCAATGAATGTCCCGAGCATCCTCAGACCCTCTGCAGCCCATGCTGGTGTGAATGTGGAGTCGGTTCTCTCTTGAAAGTGCATTACTAGCGGCGGTGGCGACATCCCTGTTTGCAGAGGAAGAGAGGCCTTCCTCTTCCCAAGTGGACCCTACACTCCACTCAGGGGAATCAAAAAAGAGGAGGATAGGGCTTTCTGCCTTCCTTCCCCAAGCTTTTGTTTGTGGGCGGTCTCGGGCTTTTGCCAAACCGTGGACGCCAGGACCGTCCAAGAGCAGAAGGGCTCGGTCTGTGGGGGAGTCTCCAGGTGCGGCTACACAGAGCGTGGGCCAGCACACCCACTCCCGTTACTCATGCAGCTTGGCCCTGGCTGAATGCATGAACAATCTCTTCCAGGCACTCCCTGTTTTCACTTCCCGCTGCCCACAGGGCCCCTCCTCTGTCTGACCCTTGAGGTCAACATGCTTTCTAGCTGATCCACCCGGCTTCCTCCCTCGGGCTGGGCTGGAGGCTGTTTTTTAACTTCAGGGGTTCCTGGAGAAGAGCTTCCTCTGGCCCTCCACGATCACATCAAATGCACTGGACTCAGGGTCTTGAGAGTTGAAGATTTGGAAGCAGAAGGATCAGTGAGTCCGAACAGTGGGAAGGAACATGATGCAAGAGGCAGGACTTGAAAACTCCGTGAGCGAAGGTGGGCAAAGGGCCGCCTCAGACAAGGAGAGATGGGAGCGCCTCGCATTCTGGGTGCCTTGGTCAGCAGCCTGAGAGGCCGGCGCAGGGACACAGGGGTGTCTGAGGGGCTCTGGTGAGAGTTCCTGCAAGTGGCATACCGTGGCAGGATGGGCGCTGTACAGGTGACCTGGGCTCCTGTTCTTAGAGCGCCCTAGCTAGCTCTGTGACCTGGGGCCGGGCCCCAACCCCCAGAAGGTCTGTTTCCTCCCTGTAAAATGCAATGATTATATTAAATAACTACCTGCAGAGTCACTGTACGGATTGGAAATATTTGCACAGGGCCTGTCTGGATGGAGGAGACCCGTGTATCGGAGTTCCTCTCATCTGATATTTCCACGGGAGCTGTGGGGGCAGCTGATGGGAAAGAGCTTCTGCCCCACTAGCCCAATTCTGTACCCACCAGTGCAGCCTGAACCTCTGAGTGACCACCCTCCTGAGCAATCATAATTCACTAGGACAGAAACACGAAACAGTTTTGTTTGTCTCGTGGAATGGCTTTCACTATGTTCTCTTAAAACTCCCTGCCTTGCTCTTTAATGATCCCTTGGGAAGGTTTTGTTACTTTTTAGTTACTTTTGTTAAAATCAAACTGTATTTATTTGAAAACTAGGAATGCAAAAAGTCAATTTGCTGTAAAGCTGCAATCATAGTTTAAATCTTAACCTTTCTATTCCCTCCCTAAAGGATTAAACCAGGACCCTATCTACCAGCCTGGAGGAGGAAGGACACCCCGCCTTACAGATATCCCTTCTCCCCTCCCTCTCTAAGGCAGTCTCCTGCTGTGTGCACTTTAGGCTGGGGTGTGGAGGAACGAGAGAGAGAGGAACAAAGGTCATTTTACCTACCTGGTGGCCACTGCTGTACTTATCTCTGGTGCTTCTCTGCAGGTCATTTACTGGATTAAGATCCCCTATGTGGCAGGGTCCAACTCTCTCACGGGCCACATGGGATGCTTTAGAGGGTGCTGGGGGTCACCATACTGCCTCCTTCCTGGGAGACAGGCTGCAGCTGGCCACTTCCATATCCACCTCCCTCTCAACTCCCATCCTGGGCAGCAAGTCCACAGCTCTGTGCGCAGGCGCCCTCACCTGGAAGGCAGCTTTCTCTGTGGGGCACTGGCAAGATGACTAGGGCCTGGCCACTTTGCATGGCGCCCACTCTCCACGGGGGAAGTCTATGCACTACGGAAGGTGGAAGGTCGTGAGATGGCCCCTACTGCCCCTCTCTCTCAGCCCTGCCACTTCCCCTCAATTCTCTTTTTTCTTTGTTTAGGTAAGATCATCAAATTCGATTCTTAGACATCAAATCAGGAACCAGAGTTCAGCTCTACTTTATTGCATTCCCTGAAACATCATCTTCCTTTTCTTTTTTTCTTTTCTTTTTTTTTTTTTGAGATAGAGTCTCACTCTGTCATCCAGGCTGGGGCACAGGGCATGATCTCAGCTCACTGCAACCTCCTCTTCCCAGGTTCAAGTGATTCTCCTGCCTCGGCCTTCTGAGTAGCTGGGACTACAGGCACACACTACCGCACCTGGTTAATTTTTGTATTTGTAGTAGACACAAGCTTCGTCATGTTGGCAAGGCTGGTCTGGAACTTTTGGGCTCAAGTGATCTGACGGCCTTGGCCTCCCAAAGTGCTGAGATTATAGGCATGATCCACCATGCCTAGCCTGTCTTCCTCTTCAGAAATTATTTAACTTATAATTGTTTATTATGTAATCTATAAGACATTCAAGGCGGGCACAGTGGCTCACGCCTGTAATGCCAGCACTTTGGGAGGTCGAGGTGGGTGGATCACCTGAGGTCAGGAGTTCAAGACCAGCCTGGCCAACATGGTGAAACCCCGTCTACACTAAAAATTCAAAAATTAGCCTGTAATCCCAGTTACTCAAAAAGCTGAGGCTGCAGAATTGCTTGAACCTGGGAGGCAGAAGTTGCAGAGTGGAGATCGTGTCACTGCACTCCAGCCTGGGCGACAGAGCAAGACTCCGTCTCAAAAAAAAAAAAAACAAAAAAAGACATTCAAAATTACACAGTGTAAGAGCATACCACCATTGTAAGAAACAAACATCTTCCACAGTTAGTACTTTGAATTCCTTTATATAATATTACATCTGGACCGTGTTTGTCATGATTCTTTATTTGCATGTGGAAGAAACTCAACTCTGACTGGACTATTAAGAAGAAAGGAAGTATTGGCTATGTAACTAAGCCACAGAAAGGACAGGTGGACTTTTTCTTCTTTTGGCTTTTTTTGTTGTTGTTGTTTTGAACCTTTAAGGATAATATATATGTGTACTGCCGGGCTATAGAAGTGTGTTTGGTTTGTCTTTTGAACAAGGGTTGGGGATGCACATGGCAGCACTAATGAACACGATCTACATCAACAAAGACACATGGAGTCAGAAAGCAAAAAACTGGTGCCTGGCATGGTCAACTTCGGTTTCCTCATCACTCAGCAGGATGTTGGGGTCCCCATGGCTGATGTGGGACAGATGTCCAAGCTCTGCACATTGCAGGGAGCCCTCAGCACCAGCTCCAGTGATGCGTCTCCCTTGGAAATTCTTGTCATGCTCATATCCCCGAATCAGCCCTTTGAAAACCCCAACCAGGTCCAAGGTCTTGGCTGCTTACAGGAGGGCCAGGCACTCCACCATGGGCAGCATACACACCACCAAGTAGGGCTTGAACTTTGTAGGGTTGATGTGGACCTCGGTGTAAGGCGAAGTTGGAGAGGGAAAGGCAGGGCCCCACCCCCTGCACACGTGAGCTCAGCCGATTGTGAGGTGAGCAGTTTCAAGGCACCCCATGAGCTCTTGCCGGGCCGAAAGTGGAACAGTCCTCTGTTCTCTTCTGAGCGTCTCTTGGCCTGTTGGCCTCATTGCTTTGGGCTGTGGACCCCCAATAATACTGGATCCATTGGGACCGCTCTTTCCAGCCTCGTCGCTAGATAAGATGTGTGCCCTCCAGCAGCTCCAGCCAGAAAAATGCAGGGGACGTCATACGCCTATCATCGAATCAATTATTGTGTGCGAGGGCACCGGGTATTGTGTTAGGTTGAGACTGAGCTTTTACAGTTAGCTATTTTATTTTTAGAAAAATTTGAGAGAGGACGCTTGCTACTACTTAATGTCCACTGTATAGATGCACTGCATTCTTTAAACTGCTTCATTTTGCGCCGCTAGAGGTGAAATTCTCGGACCGGCGCGAGACGGACCACAGCGAAAGCATTTGCCAAGAATGTTTTCATTAATCAAGAACGAAAGCGGAGGTTCGAAGACGATCAGATACCGTCGCAGTTCCGGCCATAAACGATGCCGACTGGCGATGCGGCGGCGTTATTCCCATGACCCGCCGGGCAGCTTCCGGGAAACCAAAGTCTTTGGGTTCCGCGGGGAGTGTGGTTGCAAAGCTGAAACTTAAAGGAATCGACGGAAGGGCACCACCAGGAGTGGAGCCTGCGGCTTAATTTGGCTCAGCACGGGAAACCTCACCCGCCCGGACACGGACAGGATTGACAGATTGACAGCTCTTTCTCGATTCGTGGGTGGTGGCGCATGGCCGTTCTTAGTTGGTGGAGCGATTTGTCTGGTTAATTCCGATAAACTGCTTCATTGTAATTCTGTTTCAGGGCTGTGCTGTTCTTATTTGGCCAATCTCTATTAATGGATATTAAAGGTGTCTTCATATGGAATCAATTTAGGTTCCTATCAATGGTGGAGTGGACAAAGAAAATGTGGTACATATACACCGTGGAATAGTATGCAGCCATCCAAAAGAACAAAATCATGTCCTTTACAGCAACATGGCTGCAGCTGGAGGCCATTATCCTAAGCAAATTAACACAGGAACAGAAAACCAAATATTACATGTCCTTACTTATAAGTGGAAGCTAAGCTTTCGGGACACGTGGACATAAAGATGGTACCAATAAACCCTGGGGACTTGAAAGTGGGGCAGGGTGGGGATCAAGGGCTGAAACACTTCCTAATGGGTACTGTGTTCATTATTCAGGTGAAGGGTTCAATAGAAGCCCAAACCCCAGCATCACCCTTGTAACAAACCCGTGTATGCACCCTCTGAATCGAAACAATTTTAAAAGTGAGAACTCAAATTGACTGCATGTGGTGGTTGTCATCCCAGCACTTTGGGGGCTGAGGCAGGTGGATCATTTGAAGCCAGGAGTTTGAGACCAGCCTGGTCAACATGGTGAAACCCCATCTCTATTAAAAACACAAAAATGAACCATGGTGATACACACCTGTCATTCCAGCTCCTCAGGAAGCTGAGGCAGGAGCATCACTTGAACCCAGGAGGCAGAGGTTGCAGTGAGCAGAGATCACCCCACTGCACTGCAGCCTGGGTGACAGAGCAAGACTCTGTCTCCAAAAAAGGAGAAAAGAAAAGAAAAATTGTCCTCATTTTTTTTCCTGATGTGAAACATTTTTTAATTTCTGTGAGCATGTGTCCAGATTTTTTAAAAGACAAACTTCCAGAGGTGGAATTGCTGCCAAAAGGTATGCATGTTTAAAAATTTCACATTGCCAGATTGCTTTCAGTTGCACTTTGCCAGTTCACAACAGTGTTGACTTTTCCATACTCCCACCCACACCAACGTATCGTCGGTTAACCTGTGCTGTGTAACAAACTATTACCAACAATCACTTATTTGCTCACCACGCCATGGATCAGCAATTTAGCAGGGCCTAGATGGGATGGCTCACCTATGTTGACCGCAGTGCTCCAGCTTCACAGGCAGCTAGAGGTCAGTGACCTTGCTCACACATCTGGCAGTTGGCTGGCTGTTACGTGGGGTGATGGAGAAAACTGGGTCATTTGTACTTGTCTATCAGCATATCATTGGTGGCCAATGGATTCCCAAGAACTGGAAGATGCAAGTTCCATTGCATCAGTACTTTTGGGTAACACTTACTAATATCCCTTTAGCCAAAGCAAGTCATTTAGTCAAGGCCAGACCCATGGGGTAGAAAATAAAGTGTACCTCTTCATGGGACAAACTGGAAAATATTGTGGTCATTTTTAATGTATCATAACCAGGTTACATCATTTTGTTAATCTTGGTGAATATGACTGGTGAAAAATGAAATCATCTTTTCTTACATTTTACTATTGTGATGGATCAGTTTTCTCCCAATTTGTGTCCATCATTTTTATTTGTTATATAACTTGACTGTCTGTATTTTTATTTAGGGTAAAAAATAGTCATTTTTAAAATAATAATACTTAACGTGTATTCTTTTCCCACTAAATTGAAACACCATTTTTGTCATATATTAACTGTCTCATATATATACTTGGACTTTATTTGTTCTGGGTCCTCTATTTTTTCTGTACCTTATTATTATTTTTTTTTTAAGTAAAAATAAGATGGGGTTTCACCCTGATGGCCAGGCTGGCCTTGAACTCCTAACCTCAGGTGATCCACCCACCTCAGCCTCCCAAAGTGCTAGGATTACAGGCATGAGCCACCACACTCAGCTTGTACCTTATTTGTTAATTCCCTTTTTTTCCCCAGAAAAAAAAAAGGGTCTTGCTAAGTTGGCCAGGCTGCCCTTGGACTCCTGGACTCAAGCAATCCTCTTGCCTGAGCTTCCTGGGTAGCTACGATCACAGGTGCTGCCACCATTCCTGGCTCCTATTTACTATTCTTATTTTTAAAATTTCTTTTTCTGGTTGGGCATGGTGGCTCATGCTTGTAATCCCAGCACTTTGGGAAGCTGAGGTGGGCAGATCACCTAAGGTCAGCAGTTTGAGACCACCCTGGCCAACATGGCAAAACCCCATCTCTACCAAAAATACAAAAATTACCTGGGCATGGTGATGTGCGCCTGGTCGCAGCTGCTTGGGAAGCTGAGGCAGGAAAATTGCTTGAACCCGGGAGGTGGAGGTTGCAGAGACTCTGTACCCCACAAATTAATTTTTCTATTAATTAATGTTTATCCTTCTATTTAGAGTTAAAATCATATTTGTCCAGTTTGAAAAGACTTGGAACTCAAATTGGAATCATAGTACATTAGTATCTTACTTTTTGTACAATATATTCATTGTCATCTAACATTTCCTAACCTGGACTAGAGATTCAATGCAATCCCTGTTAGAATGCCAATTGCTTTTCTTGCAGAAAGGACAGCTTGATCCTAAAATTCATATAGAAATACAAGGGTCCTCAAATAGCCAACACAATCTTGAAAAAAACGTTGGAGGATTTCCATTTCCTGAGTTCAAAATTTAATACAAAGCCACAGTCTGATACTTACAACTCAACAATAAAAGGACAAATAACCCAGTTTAAAAATGGAGAAAGGGTTTGAATAGACTATTTTTTTATACTGTCTTTGTCTAGTTTTTGGATCAGGGTAATAGTAGTTTCATAAAATGAATTAGGAAGTCTTTTCTGTTTTTTGGAAGAAATTGTGTAGAATTGGTGTTACTTCCTTTTGGATTGTTTGAGAGAATTTTCCTGTGAAACCATCTGTGCCTGGAGATTTCCTTTTTTTTTTGAGATGGAGCCTTGCGCTGTTGCCCAGGCTAGAGTGCAGTGGCGAGATCTTGGCTCACTGAAACCTCCACTTCCTGGGTTCAAGTGATTCTTCTGCCTCAGCTTCCCGAGTAGCTGGGACTACGGGCATGTGCCACCACGCCTGGCTAATTTTTGTATTTTTAGTAGAGATGGGGTTTCACCACATTGGCCAGTCTGGTCTCGAACTCCTGACCTCGTGATCCCGCCAGCTCGGCCTTCCGAAGTGCTGGGATTACATGCGTGAGCCACTGCATCCAGCCTGAGATTTCCTTTTTTAAGAGCTTTTTAAATTATAGATTCAATTTCTTCAAGTGTTATAAGATTATTCAAATAATCTGTTTTATATTGAATGGTAGTTTGTGATTTTCAAAGAAGTGGTCTGTTTGATCTAAGTTATGGTTATAGAATTGTTCATAGTATTCATTTACTATTCTTTTGATACCTGCAGGGTCTGCAGGGATATTCTGTTTCATTCCTGATATAGTAATTTGTATCTTTTCTCCTTCTTTGTCAGGCTGGCTAGAAGTTTGTAACTTTTATAGATTTTTTTCAAGGAACCAGTTTTTGTTTCATTAGTTTTCTCTACTGTTTTTCTGGTTTCGATTTTATTAATTTCTTGTTTTTCTGTGCCCTCCCTCCCTCCCTCCTTTCCTTCCTTCCTTCCTTTCCTCATTTCCTTCATTTTTTCCTTTCTTCCTTTTTTCTTCTTGCTCTGTCACCCAGGCTGGAGTGCAGTGGCAGAATCATAGCTCATTGCAGCCTTGAACTCCTGGGCTCAAGGGGTTCTCTCACCTCAGCATGCCAAGTAGCTGGGACTACAGGCACTTACCTAAAAAAAAAAAAAAAAAAAAAAAAAAAAAAATCATTCTACCATAAAGACACATGCACACAAATGTTCATTGTGTACTACTCACAATAGCAAATACATAGAATCAACCTAAATGCCCATCAATGACAGATTGGATAAAGAAAATGTGGGGCATATACACCAGGGAATGCTATGCAGCTAAAAAAAAAAAAATGAGATCATGTATTTTTGTAGGAACATGAATGGAGCCGGAGGCTATTATCCTTTGCAAACTAATGTAGAAACAGAAAACCAAATACTGCATATTGTCACTTATAAACTAAATAATGATAATTCATGAACACAAAGAAGCAACAGGAACTGGGGTTTATTTCAGGGTGGAGGGTGAACGGTGGGAGAGGGGCAGAAAAGATAACTATGGGCTTAATACCGGTGTGATAAAATCTGTACCACAAACCCCTGTGGCATGAGTTGACCTGTGTAACAAACCTTCACTTGTACCCCTGACCCTAGAATGAAAGTCTTTAAAATACTAGCTTGTGACTTGGCTAGCTCACTTATTAGTTCTAATAGTTTTATTGGTAGATTATTTGAGATTTGCTTTGTAGACCCATATGTCATCTGTGAATAAAGACAGTTTTAATTCATCATTCCACATTTATATGCCTCCCCTTTTTTTTTATTGTCTTACTGAGCTGGTGAGGACTTTCTGTACAGTCTCGAAAAAGGGAAACATCCAAGAGCTTTCCTTCTTTTTCTGGTGACATGACTCGTTGGCAAGTCATCTCCCAAGAGAGTGAAAGTACATTTTTTTTTTTTTTTTGAGACGGACTTTCGCTCTTGTTACCCAGGCTGGAGTGCAATGGCGCGATCTCGGCTCACCGCAACCTCCGCCTCCTGGGTTCAGGCAATTCTCCTGCCTCAGCCTCCTGAGTAGCTGGGATTACAGTCACGCGCCACCATGCCCAGCTGATTTTCTGTATTTTTAGTAGAGACGGGGTTTCACCATGTTGACCAGGATGGTCTCGATCTCTTGACCTGGTGATCCACCCGCCTCGGCCTCCCAAAGTGCTGGGATTACAGGCGTGAGCCACCGCACCCGGCGAAAGTACATTTTTAATGACTAGACTCTGCCTCCATGACACTCACCTTTGGAGGCAATCCAACTGCCTTAGTTTGAGAAGGGAGCAGAACAAGCTTTGGTAGTTTGAGGACTAAAAAAGTGAGTGACTCAACACTTGTGGTGGTTCTTCCTCAGAATGAATGCCCAGTGATTATGCGTCCCTGATAGGTAGACTCTAAACATGTCTTCAGGGCAGCTGGGCCCAGAGAAGAACGGACATTCATTGAACTGAGAGGATGGGACTCTTAGGCTACCACATGGCAAATATGGTGAGAAAGTCTTTGCATCACGTGTGGCTCTGAGGAAGTGGAGGCATACAGGGGCGACATCTAACTGCAGAAGTCCTGGCCGTGCTGGGAGATAGACCTTTGCTTTGGACTGAGGGAAGGCTGATGGCAGTCCTGGGTGGCAGAGATATGGCAATGCCAGTGGCAATGGCTTGAGAGACTCCAGGGCGGTTGGAGTCCTGGATCCACTTGGGAGTGAATGTTTGAGGGATCTTGGTTTGGACTGCATGTGACTCTGACGTTCTTGAATGGTCCAGAAGAGGATAAGAGAGAGCCCCCAGGAGGGCAGAAATGTACTTCCTGCTAGTCACACATTTGGGAGTTCAAATCAGTTTAACTCAATTGTGGGAGATGAAATAAATAAAAAGCAAAACGATTGAATGTTTTGAGAAGGAACGATGGATGTGTAAAGTGCAAGGTGAGCCGCCGTGCACTGGTGTGTACTGTTCTCACAGGTCAAGGGAAGGAAAGGTGTGCCCAGCATGGAGGCTGAGCAGGTGAAGCCTGTACTGGAAGGTCAAGTCCATCGGCCCGTTCGGAGTGAAGGAGAACCCAAGGCTCTGGGGCCAGAGTGGGGGGAACTTGAACAATGCTTCTGCAAAGAACTTTCCTACAAGGAGTTAAAAACAATTCAAAGATCTGGAAATATTTCCACTTTTTTTTTTCTTATCAAACTAAAGTCATTTTAGTGGGTATTTCTTGAAGTTATTAAGGGAGTAGACTTATTGTTTAAGGAGAGGGTGGCAGCTCCATTTACCAGGGAGAACCTATTTAAGAACCCACAGTCTTGGGCTCTTTCCAAGGCATTGTAAATTTACTTTACAGTGTCTGATTTACTTTAAAGCTTCTTGTTATTGCAGTTTAAAACAAAATTTATCCTGCACGCATCCTGTTTAAAACAGAATTTTCTCCTCTGTTAGGCAGAGATAAAGAATGCAAGAACGTGTACTTTATAGCGTTGATTGCACCTTGATACTAAGTGAAAATGGGCTGTGATGCTTTAAATTATCAGGTTGATGGCTGAAGGGGAACCAAATCAAATATGCTTTTAAAATGTAATTTTGTTACGTCTTAATTTAATGAGGGTGTTCTAACAAATGGAAGAAAAATGTATTTCTTCTCCTCCTCCTTCCCTTCCTCTTGCTCCTTTACTTTCTTCACCTTTGTGTTCCTCTTTAGAAGTGTGACATGTACACATTTTTATGTAGAGCATCATGATACCCTTCCATTTAGATCCCATTTTCTTTCAGAAGACAGCAGTATGCTCCCCAGGCTGCACAGCATGCTGGCGGATCGCACCTGTCCCACAGAATCACTAGCAGCTAGAGCAGCTCTCCCTTGCTGAGCAGCGCAGGGTAACCGGGACCTTCTAGTGCAGCACTTTTATTTCCCTTTGCCAATTCACAGCAGATTTGCCTCTTGCATATAGTGAGCAAAGTCCCCAGGAGTGTTGTCTGTGTTCCCCCACATCATGCGAAGGCAGACGCAGCAGGCTCCGTGCACTGGGCATGCCTTTCTCTCTTTGATAGGGCCTGGGTATTTGGTCCACAATTTTTTTTTTTTTTTTTTTTTTTTTTGAGACAGAGTATCACTCTTTCACCAGGCACCAGGCTGGAGTGCAGTGGCACAATCTCAGCTCACTGCAACCTCCACCTCCCAGGTTCAAGCAATTCTCCTGCCTCAGCCTCCCGAGTAGCTGGGACTACAGGCACGTGCCACCACGCCCAGCTAATTTTTGTACTTTTTTAGTAGAGATGGGATTTCACCATGTTGGCCAGGATGGTCTCGATCTCCTGATCTCTTGATCCACCCGCCTTGGCCTCCCAAAGTGCTGGGATTATAGGCGTGAGCCACCGCGCCCGGCCTGGCCCACATCTTTATCGTTTCCAAGACTCTTGCAGAACAGGAGCCATGCTTTTCAGCTTATGATCTCTGAAAGAAACACAGCTCATATATGCTTGCTCCGGAGATTGAGCTAGCTGACGATGATTAACATTGACAAAAAAAGTCGAAACTCTACAAGAGTAATATTTTACTGCAAGTCTCAAGGAGTTTTAACACGGATAGGTCTGGACTATGGCCCACTGAAGTGTCATGAGAACTAGGTTTGCTTGCTTTTTAGGGCATTCCCTCTCATTTCTAGATAATCCGGAGAAAAAGGGCCAATCTCCTGCTGAGGTTCAGCATCATTCTTGGCCTGCAAATAGCGCATTTGCCTGAGGGCAACTTCTTTCACCTGCTCTCACAGACGCCCCCGGTGCTTTATGCTGCCTCTCCTAAACTCACCAGCATCCTGCTCTCCTCTGGGAGGCCTCTATGGCTTTGACCTGGAAAGGTCTTTCCACTGCCCTGGGCATCACACCCACTGTCCAGTTGCTAGGGACGATTCTGGTTGTAGGCCTTGGAATTGGCCTTGTTTTATGCCAACTTTATGGTCTCAGGGTAGAGACTACCTGTCCCATATCCATTACCTTTAAAACAATCAGCCAGATTTGTGTTGCTTGGTATTTCAAAACTTGAAATAGGTCTACAAGCATAGGTCTTGTAGGACCTATGCCTCAGTTGTGATTTGAATGCTTCTATATACAGATGACTTTTCAGGCAAAAAGACTGGCACTTCCTTGATGACTGGCCAAGTCTTCTCAGCCATACCACCAGTACTGCTCACCCTCTAGGCCGTCTTTGGCTCGTTTCCCCCATCAATTGCCAATCAACCTCTCTTCTTCCCCCCTTCTCTATCTCACTACCTCAGCTTTGGTGTTCTACAACATTTGAATGTTCTAATTTGCAGTTTTTGTGACACTTTTGGTTCCATATAACAGAAAATCCAACCCTAATTTGCTTAAGTAACCATGATCTTTTTAACTCACACAATTAAAATGTTTACAAGTAAGACATATTTCAAGCATGGATGGATTTAGGGCCTCAACAATGGTCTCAGAACCAAATTTTTCTTCTTCCCTTTTTAAACATTTTGACTCTGGTTCCTTAGAGGTGAATCCACTTTTAGATTCCACTTGGAGGCCAGATGATTGGAGCAGCTCTAATACCCACATGGCAAGAGGTACCTACATGGTCTCATCACCACTCCACTAATGGCATCTTAAGTTGGCTGCTTCTCATGCAAAACCCAGTATCTGTTGGGTAAATATTGTCAGTTCAAGATTTCTTCCTTTGTTTTCTCCCTAGGGGTTCTGGAAGTCATGGCACATGGGGCCGGGGATGTGGCTTCTCTGTTGGTGTCTTCATGGGCTTCCATCCTTGCTCTGTCTTCTGATGAAACATTTGCCTCCCCTTCTGTTCTCCAAGTAGATGTCTGTCGTTTTTGTCCCAACTTCAAGATGTCCTCACTCAGCTACTTCTGTTTTACTTTCTGTGGCACAATAATTTTTGGTCACCCTGCTGTTTCCTGTGGGGACTGCCTGAGCCTTTAAAAAAAACCCAAAAAACAAAAAAAACCTGGTGGGGGTGGTGGTTCACACCTGTAATCCAGCACTTTGGGAGGCTGAGGAGAGAAGATCACCTGAGGTCAGGAGTTCGAGACCAGCCTGACCAAATGGCAAAACCCCATCTCTACTAAAAATACAAAAATTAGCCAGGTGTGTTGGTGGGTACCTGCAATCCCAGCTACTCAGGAGGCTGAGGCAGAGAATTGCTTGAACCTGGGAGGCAGAGGTTGCAGTGAGCCAAGTTCGCACCTATGCACTCCAGCCTGGGTGACAAAGCAAGACTCTATCTCAAAAAACAACAACAACAACAACAACAACAACAACAAAAAATGAGCCAAGTTAATTGTAAGCAAAAAGAACAAAGCTGGAGGCATCACACTACTGGACTTCAAACTATACTACAAGGCTACAGTAATCAAAACAGCATGGTACTGGTACCAGAACAGAGATGTAGACCAATGGAACAGAACAGAGGCCTCAGAGGCAACACAACACATCTACAACCATCTGATCTTTGACAAACCTGACAAAAACAAGCAATGGGGAAAAGAGTTCCCATTTAATAAATGGTGTTGGGAAAACTGGCTAGCCATGTGCAGAAAGCAGAAACTGGACCCCTTCCTGACACCTTACACTACAATTAACTCCAGATGGATTAAAGACTTAAACATAAGACCTAACACCATAAAAACCCTAGAAGAAAATCTAGGCAAACTCATTCAGGACATAGGCGTAGGCAAGGACTTCATGACCAAAACACCAAAAGCATTGGCAACAAAAGCCAAAATAGACAAATGGGACCTAATCAAACTCCAGAGCTTCTGCACGGCAAAAGAAACAGTCATTAGAGTGAATCGGCAACCAACAGAATGGGAAAAAAATTTGCAATCTACCCATCTGACAAAGGGCTGATATCCAGAATTTGCAAAGAACTAAAACAGATTTACAAGAAAAAAACAAACAAGCCCATTCAAAAGTGGGTGAGGGATATGAACAGATACTTTACAAAAGAAGACATACATGAGGCCAACAAACATACGAAAAAATGCTCATCATCACTGGTCATCAGAGAAATGCAAATCAAAACTACATTGACATACCATCTCACGCCAGTTAGAATGGCGATCATGAAAAAATCTGGAGACAACAGATGCTGGAGAGGATGTGGAGAAATAGGAACACTTTTACACTGTTGGTGGGAGTGTAAATTAGTTCAACCATTGTGGAAGACAGTGTGGCGATTCCTCAAGGACCTAGAAATAGAAATTCCATTTGACTCAGCAATCCCATTACTGGGTATATATCCAAAGGATTATAAATTGTTCTACTATAAGGACACATGCACAGGAATGTTCATTGCAGCATTGTTTACAACAGCAAAGACCTGGAACCAACTCAAATGCCCATCGATGATAGACTGGACAGGGAAAATGTGGCACATATACACCATGGAATATTATGCAGCCATCAAAAACGATGAGTTCGTGTCCTTTGTAGGGACATGGATGAACCTGGAAACCATCATTCTCAGCAAACTGACACAAGAACAGAAAATCAAGCACCGCATGTTCTCACTCATAGGCCGGCGCTGAACAATGAGAACACATGGACACAGGGAGGGGAGCACTACACACTGGGGTCTGTCGGGGGAAATAGGGGAGGGACAGCGGGGGGTGGGGAGTTGGGGAGAGATAGCATGGGGAGAAATGCCAGATATAGGTGATGGGAAGGAAGGCAGAAAATCACACTGCCATGTGTGTACCTATGCAACAATCTTGCATGTTCTTCACATGTACCCCAAAACCTAAAATGCAATAAAAATTAAATAAATAAAATAAAATGAATAACCAAAAAAAAAGAGAATATAACATTAAAAAAATGACAACAAAACAAAACAAACAAAATACAAAAATTAGCTGGGTGTGGTGGGCATGCCTGTAATCCCAGCTACCCGGGAAGCTGAGGCAGGAGAATCACTTGAACCCAGAAGGCAGAGGTTGCAGTGAGCCGGGATTGCACCATTGCACACCAGCCTGGGCGACAAGAGTGAAACTGCGTCTCAAAAAAAAAAAAAACCTGAACATACTTGCTGTCGTTCCTGGCCTAATGTTTCATATGTAAATCGAATCTCAGATTAGTTCTACTCACATATTTCCAGCCATGTGTTGGTGTGTCTAACTCTTTCTCATAAGGGTTTTGACAAGGTTGAACAGGGACCAAGGAGTATCAACTCTGATCATGAGTATTGATAACCTTCTCCTTGCCCTAGCTGGTTAGATTAAAAAAAAAAAATCACCCATTGCTTAAAAAAGAGCTGCATTCCTTTCTGCGCACTCTCTAACTCTGTAAAGCACATTCGTTCTGTGCTTGAGTCCCCCAGGCATTGCTCCTGCTGTTCGCAGGCAAATATCTGGAATTCTAATATAAACACAGCAAACAGCAACAGTTACAAAACATTTTCTTTCTTAAGTTTCTCCGAATCCATGGCTTTCAAGACTGTTGCCTCTGTTTTAGACTTGAAAGAGTCCTCTGAGAGATGGAGAAACCAAGAATTGGACCCTCTGTGGACTCAGAGCCTCCTGCTGAGATGTTAGGGAGAATGGACCACACGAAATAGGGCAGCGTGGGAAAGGGTGTGGTGGAGGACACGACTTGGTTTAAGTGGTCCCAATTTTAACTTATTTCTATTCTACCTAATAGCTCTTGTCGCCTGAAATCAAATATAATGAAATGCTGTAATGACCATTACGGGATGATGTTACAAAGGACATGACTAGTAGGGTTTAGGAGCATTGGTGGAAAGGAAGAAATATACATATTCTCCCAACTTCTCAGGGTGGATCAGAGGGTAGTAAGTGTTACGTCTGGGATGTGATATGCTGAGATGGTGATGAGGGTATTCCTGGAGCTCAAGCTTGTTTATCGTGTCAGTTCTGAACACGAAGAAAGACGTGCTAGGGCAGTGATTCCAGCCCCTGGGTACTTAAATGAAAATACCTAAAGGTACTTAACAAAAATGCACTGGGCTTCCTGAGCCAGAATCTCTGGGGTTGGTGATAACCTTCCAGGGAATTTTTTTTTTTTTTTTTTTTTTTAGATGGAGTGTCATTCTGTTGCCCAGGCTGGAATGCAGTGGTGCAATCTCTGCTCACTGCAACCTCTGCCTCCCAAGTTCAGGCGATTCTCCTGCCTCAGCCTCCCGAGCAGCTGGGACTACAGGCACGCGCTGCCACGCTCAGCTAATTTTTGTGTTTTTAGTAGAGATGGGGTTTCACCATGTTGGCCAGGCTGACTCAAACTCCTGACCTCAAGTGATCCACTGGCCTTGGCCTCCCAAAGTGCTGGGATTAGAGGGGTGAACCACCATGCCCAGCTGTAGGGGATTTTATTGTAACCAGCCTAGTACAAGTCAAGTATGTTTAGGGAACACTGGGTTAGATCAGGGAAGAATCAACAAAATATAAAATGGCAGCAGGATCCCCTGGTAGCTAGGTTTTTAAGAGACTTCATTGTCAAGTGCTCCGATATGAATGATGCTAGACAAGAAAGAACAGTGAACTGAAAGAATTTTAATGATTTGTATGTGGAGGAGAAGATGTTTTCATATTTGGAGCTCTCTAGAAATGTTTCGGTAGGGGCCGGGCGCGGGGGCTCAAGCCTGTAATCCCAGCACTTTGGGAGGCCGAGGTGGGTGGATCACCAGGTCAAGAGATCAAGACCATCCTGGTCAACATGGTGAAACCCCGTCTCTACTAAAACTACAAAAAATTAGCTGGGCATGGTGGTGCGTGCCTGTAATCCCAGCTACTCAGGAGGCTGAGGCAGGAGAATTGCCTGAACCCGGGAGGCGGAGGTTGCGGTGAGCCGAGATCGCGCCATTGCACTCCAGCCTGGGTAACAAGAGCGAAA